GGAAGGTAGGTTAGGAAAATGAGTGAAAAAAGATTATGTTCTCAGAATGTTACTGTGTCCAAGCTCTTACTGCTTCCAACACAACATGACAGTAAATTAAGAGATGAGGCACTGGGGCAGGGAATAGCAACCTTATTCAGAAAGCCAGCCGACAAAGAAGATGGTGGACTACTGTCCCAAAGAGCCATCTTCCTCGAGTTAGGATTTAGGCTTCCTTAATACTAAAAAGGGAGAGGGTGTGGTTGGTTGGTACAGACTTATTGGCTCTGGAATCCTTTGTTCTTGCAGCTGTCCATGTAGGTTTGGTCCCAACGTTCCTATAAACTCAAGCATGACACATGTTATTGTCTGTTCTGCAACTTTTTGTCTCTAAATGAATGGAAAAGTGTTATACCTTTAAAGGCCAGAGCCCTGAGAGTGGGCTAGTCTATATACTTCAGGTTCTAGGCAACATTCTTAACTCCTAGCAAATACAATAGAATGCAGAGGTTAAAGTTTAAAAACAAAAACATATGGCAAAAACCACTACAATATTGTAAAGTAATTAGCCTCCAACTAATAAAAATAAATGAAAAAAACAAAAACAAAATAAAAACAAAAATGAATCCAACATGGAGTCAGAGAACATTCTTTGCCCCTAGAACAAGAATTCCTGAAAGGTTGAAAGACAGAAATAAGGAAAGGGCTCCCTTTCCCGCCCTCTTTTTCCCCCTTCTCCCTCTTCTCCATAGGCACAAGAGTCTCAAATGCTCTCTCATGCACTGGAAGCAGGTAGTGAGGGAGTCAGCCCAAAGTGTGGCCTTTCCCCAAAGGGATCTCACCAGACATCTAACTTTTTAAAAAAGGAGTTCTGGAGATCACCTCACAGGAAAAATGTCAGCAAAAGAGTACTTAGACTTTTCTCAAAGCTACTGAGAAGTCAAAGCTAGAGTCTGCCCGGCAGTCCAGATAAGACAGTTGCTGAGTACTACAGGTGACCTGGCCAATAGTCTTTTTGAGTAGAGACCAGGGAAAGAGTATTGTACAGAGGATGAGAAGGTGGATTCAGGTCTCAGAGGCTGCAGCTGACACCTTCTTTAAGCGCAGATTCTTAGCTTAACATCGTTACACTGTTTTGGTAAGAGGGCCTCTTGGTAACATGCTGCTGTGTTTTGCATCTGTATGTGCGTGAATCAGTGTCACAGACTTGAATGCCAGTTGAGGGATACAGGCAGGGCATACAGCTAACAACCCACAATGTTCCACGGGGCAGAAGCCAGTGCTTTGATGTGTATGTCCAGTTATCCCCAGGGATCAGGAATGGAAAGTTACTGATTGGGGCACTTACTCCATGCCTCTCCCCTTTGCTTACCATGTAAATTGTCCTCTGGCTGAACTCTAGTACTCAGAAACTCATGTTAAATGGATACATTTTCTCAACAAACCTTTTCTGCATTGGTTTCTCTGCCTCAAGCTTTGCTCCAGAGACATAAGTTGGATGAAACAACAGTCCATACGCTGGAGGAGATCACAGGCTGGTGGGATTAAGCTCACTAGTGTCTTGAGTCCAGGCCTGCATTTACCCCAGGGTAGCCTATACCACCTGCATCTTGCACCAGATCCTCAATGATCTGAGCAAGGAAGGGCTGTCCGTTTACCGGCCCATTGAGTGAAAGCATTTCTTCATATTCAGGTGTCCTGGTCTGCAAGTTATTTCCCAGGGAACCCTAGCAGAATCTCCAAGTTACTGTTCTTCTCAATCTCCCAGCTACAGTGAGTTTTATTCCATTAACAGTCCAGCATTTGAATTGTGATTCTTTTATTTAGGGAAGGCCTTCAAAGACCACGCCAGTTCCACTTGTCTCCTTTTTTGCAACGTGGTTAAGCATATGTCCTTTTTCTTGCTGCCCTCACAGCCCTCTCCCAGATTCCATCCTGTATGTTGGTGGGAGGAGCTAAAGCCAACAGGAACGCAGACTGCAGTACCATGGCTTTTCATGACTTCTTCTTGACTTGGAGAAATCCCATTTTCTCTTAAGCTAGAAGTTGTATGGTGTGAGGAAACATCAAGCATCAATGCATAAGTTCAGCAGGAGAGATAAAGTGGGCATTTCATCTTGATGGTAAATCTGGCCCACAGAAAGATACTGATCCAGCAGGTAGAAAGCAGATATCATCATGGAACTGTGCCCAACTGCAGCATTTAAATGTTTGCCCTCCATCACAGTGAGCTTTATTAAGCCTTTTCTTTGGAAACTCTCATACTTTTTAATGAGAGCAAATGTCTCCCAGAGATAAGTCTTCCTGCCATGTCTTTTTTTAAATCTAGAAATCTTATGGAAAGGAAGGGCATTACAACACTTTCCATGGGAAGAAAACTATGTGGGTGTAAGAAATATTTCCAAGTTGAGTATGTATTTCAATCATGTGGGTTTTTTTCAGATTTTTTGGAGTGTAGTTGATTTACAATGTTGCATTGGTTTCTGGTCTACAGCAAAGTGACTTGATTTTATATGTATACATACATATGTATACACACAAACACATATATATATATATATTCATTCTTTTTCAGATTCTTTTCTCATATAGGTTATCACAGAATATTGAGTGGAGTTCCTTATGCTATACAGTAGGTCCTTGATGGTTATCTGTCTTTATATAGTAGTGTGCATATGGCATATGTTAATCCATGTGTCTTATGAAAACAAAACAGAATACTTCAAGGGTAGCAAAAGATATGGGAGAGGTCTTTTAAACTGATTCTAATGAGATATTCTTTTAGATCTATCCATGCTTAGAGCTGACACTTAGTTTTAAGGAAATTCCATTTTTGTGCATGTTAAAATTTGGGAAATCAGAAACCTGCTGTGAAGTGGACTCAATCTTAGAACCCATAGCATAGCTGAGACTTCCTATGAAAAGGGCCTGGGAGATGTTAGGAGCCACCAACGAGCCTCTATCTCCTCATCTGCAAAATGAGTAGCATCTCCATTTGGCCTCAGAAACGTTGTGGTTTCCCCAGTGCTTATATCTTTTATAAGCTTAACTTTTCTTAACTTTTGCAGAATGAATTTCCAGAAAAGTTCTTAATTCAAGGTCACTGAATACTCCGATCAGAGCCCAATACCATTTCTTCGTGGCTTGTGTATTGGGTTGGCCAAAAAGTTCAGTTGAGTTTTTTCATAAAGATGTTACAGAAAACCCAAATGAACTTGTGGGCCAACTCAATATAAACAGTACGTTTTATGCCAGAGTGTCTTACAATGGGTTGTTTATGTTTCAATAAACAAATTTTATATTCCACCATTACCATAGGCTTCCCCACCCCAGGAATCCAAACTTAATCTTTTGAAACTGAATCCATTTCTATCTTGAATGCTCCTAGAGCAAGACTTTGTCAGAAATAGGAGAGAATATACTGCTTCTGTCTCAGGACTTCTCAAGTGCTGCCATCCATCTTCAAATCCACAGGACGCACGTGGAAATATTTTTCTGATAATGAGTTATTAAAACAGAAATGAGAATGGCCACATCTTGAATATGACAGATACCATAAAGAATAGGGAACTGGAAAAGCACTGTATCTGTGTATCCATCCCAGTTGGTGGTTCACGTGGGACCATCTGTGAGCCGACTTGGAGCCTCTGACCTGAAGTCTCCCCCCGACTGATGCCCTAAGAGGTGGCCTTATCTGGAAAAAACCTGTCATGATGGAGGCAGAGAAGCTTAGATTTAGATCATGTCTAGATTCTTCACGCCTCCGCATGACCTCAGGCCAGTACTCCACCTCCCTCAGCCTGAGTATTCCAATGTAAATATAAGGATAAAGACAACTTCTATGTAAGACCTTTTGCTTTTTTGGTGAGGATTAAACAAGTTAATGTGCATGGAAGTGCCTGACAAAATACCTGCACATAGTAGGCACTCTCAAAAACGTATTGCTGTTGTACAACATTGGTAACGCACTTTGTGCCACTGAATGGTGTACTTAAAGTTGATTTGAAGAGTAAATTTTGTGTTATGTGTATTTTACCAACACACTCACAGAAAACTATTGCTATACTTGACCATCATCTCTTAATGCCTGAAAGGTACCAGCCACATCTTTAATGTACTGTGATCAAAGAGGCCCTTATCCATATCCACACTGGCTTAGAGCCGCAGAGCAATGCTGCTGGAGGGGACCTTGCAGGTCATCTAGGCTGACCACCCTTATGGTGACGGTCTGTCCCACTGAGCCTGGGATTAGGGTCTTTATACTTGCCCAACTTCCCAAAAGCTTCTCTTCAACAGCCCAGGCATTTTGGCCACAGGAGACCTGGTGATGGTGAATTTCAAGCAGAGCCCTAATGACCTGATAGCCCCAGTGCAGTCAGAGCCTGTGTTCTTCCCCAGGAGGAGCCATGCCTCAGGTTTCCAAGGGGCCAGCCCTACCTTGATGTCCCATCGCCTGATTTCTTTTCTACCACATGTGATCTCTGGTTGGCATGAGACTCTCTGCTCAACCACAGAAATGCAAATACTGTTTTACCGCTGTTTTCACCCAAGAGAAATAATGTTTTTCAACAGCTAATAGCCATCTTCCTTTTTTCAACTCATTTTTCAAGCTTTACACTGTGAGAGAGTGTGCCACCACTTAGTCTTTGAATTTTGATTATTGAGTATTTTGATTTGAGTTGTTGACGTTGATGAAACCCACTTGTATATATTTTTATTTCCCAGTGAATTTATGTCTTTTTAAAGACTCTGGTCTGGAAAAATCATCTGTCTTAGAATGTCCTGATTTTAAATTTGTACAAAATTTCAACTCTGGTAATTTTTATCTTTTAGAGAGGGGGTAGGGGGACGCAGCAGATTGAGAGGCCTCTAGTCAACTTAAGCCTTTCTACCCTGGGTGTGGTTTGTCCATAAAAAGCCATGTACAGTTGAAGAGCCAGGTAACCGAGAAGTAAGTCATTTGGCAGAAAGTGTCCTTTGGGGTATGAATTGTGTATAATGCTGTTTTCTTTTGGTTATAGCAAGCGGACGAAACCCTGGATTTTGAAGAACAGATCTTGGAAGCTGCTAAATCCATTGCTGCTGCCACGAGTGCCCTCGTCAAATCGGCCTCGGCAGCCCAGAGGGAGCTGGTGGCCCAAGGAAAGGTTTGTAAACCTTGCTGGCCACGTGGGCAAAGTCGGGCTGCTGGAGCCTCTGAGGACCGAGGGAAAGGCAGCTCCGCGTGTGTTCTGAGCAGGGAAGCCCTGTCGCCCCATCCCTCCCCGAGTTACCCCACTCTGCCCATCACACTGAACATTCTGCTTCAGCTTGACAGATAGAATGAGGGATTTGGCTTCCAGGCCTCTCATCTGCTTCTTGTTAAGGAGAGCTCCCACCCCAGGCAGCCATCAGGGCCTGAACATTCATTTATTTTCTTGCTGTCCATTAGTCTATTTAAAGATGTAAACTGTCATATGTTCCCAGTGGATGGCTATATAAGCACCGTAGTCAGGGGCTTTGTAATACCTTTTTCAGTTCCAGTGACTCTATTCATTTTCTTAGGACTGTTGAGCTGAATGCCATCCAGCTCTGCCGTTAGCATTTTCCTGAGTCCTTTAGTCAAAAAACTGGTCTGTTTTTAAAGCTGAGATTTCTTCGACCTGCTTTATCTCCAGTCACCCATTCCATCTGCATTAGCGTGAAAGCCTAGTTCTTTTTCAGTGATCCAGAGGATTAATAGTACATTAGACTAATCCTGCATGTGGGAAGGCCTTTCAATTGAAAATATTCCATGTGTCCTGTTATGCCCATATGGCATGGAACCACTCCATCCAAATTACATCTTGCAGAAAAGACTTTCAATCATACAAGCACTATGGAGATCCTGACAGGTTGGGGAAATTTGGTCACCATACCTGTCAGTCACTTCTGTTTGATATTAAAAGACCTTTACTGTCAGTTTACAGATGACAGATGTGATTGTGTCTTGAACTTGCAATAGAGACGGCTAGGCTCAACTAGTGGCCTTCCATTTTCCTCCATGAAGTCTCTCGTAAGCTTGTTTTTGTTGTTTAGTCACTAAGTCGTGTCCTACTGTTTCACAACTCCATGGACTGTAACCCGCCAGTCTCCTCTATCTATGGAAGTATTTCGGCAAGAATACTGGAATGGGTTGCCATTTCCTTCTCCAGGGGATCTTCCCGACCCAGGGATTGAACCGTTTCTCCTGCGTTGGCAGATGTATTCTTTACCACTGAGCCACCAGGGGAGCTTAGCCATGTCTTAATCCAGCCTATGTACACTGGCTCCTCTTTCCAAACCATTGTGTTCCAATTTGATGTATGTACATCTCCCCAGCCAGCATAAATCTGTCCCTTTTACCCTTCTCACTTATCCCCTATTGATGGAGCAGAATGCCGTCCTTACTCACCTAGGACTTGTTAACTGGTTGATATGTAAAGACCAAATATGGATCATTGAGAAGAACGTCCTACCTAGATAGTTCAGTTCATCTGCGTCTTGATGAAGACTCATCTGCGTGCTGGACAGAGGGCTAGATACTAAAGAATTAAACTCGAGTATGGCCAAGGCTTTGTCCTCCAAGGAACTTATATGTTCAAGCATTTAAAAAGTTGGTAACAGAGGTTCTCAGAGTTGGATATGACTTGGCAACTGAACAACATCAACAACAGTGGTTCAGCTGGATTGGGGGAACTGTATGCAGAACCCTGGGGCCTCATCTGACCTTAAACAAGCTGTGATGTGATGCCTGTAATTGCTAAGAGATCCCCAGTTTCATATTCAAATTTAGCTACTCATCTCGTACCTCTCCACACACCTCCCACCAGTAAAGGTATTTGTTCCCATGGCTCCTTCTACATCTGGTCAGAAAACGTTTTATTTGTTGCCATAATTTCTAAATAGAAACAGAGATCATCCTACTCCCAGCTTCTTACTTCTCTCCCCACCCCTGACAAAATGGTCTGTATTTCCTTAAGACAAGCATCTGTGCTCAATTGTATAGAGATGTACTCCTTTTTTAACATCATCTGCCAGAAAGTCACAGTGTGACTCCCAGAGTCAGGAACTAGGGGAGATTTCAGCTTCCCTCACCTCTTGAATGAAGAGGCCTCCATGGCTCCCATGTTAGAAATGGGGAAGGGTCAGCAGAGGAAACAGACATGTCAAGATAGCCCCATCCATCGTTCCTAAGCCATTTTCCCAGAAATGTGGTTATATGGAGGCCGTTGAGAGGGTTTCCAGTCACCTTCTTGTGACCCAGGTGGAAACCGGCCAGGACCTGCAGTCTTGGAGCTGCTGGGGTCCCGCGTGGGAAAAGGTGACGTTGGCAGGGGTCCCCGGGAGATGTGCGTGTCTGATGAGCTGCTTTTCTGTCCAGTTCCAGGCCATGAGTTAGGGCGTGAGGGGTGCAGTCACCCCGCACCTTCCCCTCTCCTTACCCCTTCTATGCTCCTCTCTAGGTGGGTTCCATTCCTGCCAATGCTGCGGACGATGGACAGTGGTCACAGGGCCTGATTTCTGCTGTGAGTCACTCTCTCCTTCTTCCCCATTGGCTTTCTGGATCCCCTGAGGGAGGTTTGGGCCGGGGGTCACTTCTCTGTTGACTGTCGCCAGGCCCGGATGGTGGCAGCCGCGACCAGCAGTCTCTGCGAGGCAGCCAACGCCTCAGTGCAGGGACACGCCAGCGAGGAGAAGCTCATCTCATCTGCCAAGCAGGTAGCTGCGTCCACGGCTCAGCTGCTTGTGGCCTGCAAGGTGAAGGCTGATCAGGATTCGGAGGCCATGAGGCGTCTACAGGTAATGGTCACTGATGCTGGTGGGAAAATACTCCTGTTGGAGCAGGTAAGTGTCACCAGAGGGTAAGCAGTCTAACTTTCTTGGCATGACCCACTGGACCTTCCATCAGCCAATTCTGTCCCACGTTTCTCATTTCCTGTCACGCGAAGCATGCATCCAATACCTGCCACCCTGCCAAACTGACGTTCTCCACGTGTACCTTCTGGTCTCATGTCTTGGGGCCCCCCTCCCACCAGACCAATCTTGGTGAAGTTCTGCTCATCCTTCATGACTCATCTCCAAAGCCACCTCTTCTGGGAAGCCCTCATTGACTCTCTAGGCCTTGGGGAGTCGGTCCCTTTTCTGCCCTGCCAGAGCCTCTGACCAGACCAACCTTATGGTTCCTGTCACCCTGTACCACCAGATTTATCTGTATGTCTGCCTTTGATGAGACTGAGCTTCTTGGATGCAGGTCCCAGATCTTTATCTTTGCATCTCTCACCCCTAAGATGGTACCTGTTTCAGTGGAGGCTCTCCTTTAGTGTTTGCTAAAGAAAGGAGCAAAGGACTGAAGAATTTATATGAGATGCTGCTAAGATTTCCCAGAGCTCAAAGAACATACTTAAGAGGGTGACGCATGAATCCTGCCCAGTGGATCTAAGTTTTCCTGATTGTTTTCATTATAAAAGTATTTTAAACACAGTAAAGGAAATGTGGGAATGAAAAAGATAGCCTCAGCATCTTCATGTGTCCAAGGTTATTTTTTTTCTCATCCTATTTTTATCTTATACAAAATGCTTTTGTCTAGTAGTCATCCTAAGAAAAGACATTCTGCCTTTTTTCACTTCACATTTTATTACACTTTTTTTTTCCCTTGAAGAAAAGTCTTCATAATGGCCCCGTGCAATGCTAACTGGTTCATTCTTCATGAGTCTCATTTTTAATGATTGCATGACATTCTATCAACTGATTATGCCAGAATTTCTCTTTACATTAGACATATTTGTGTCCAGTTTTCTAGATGTTCGCTATTATAAATGTTGTAATGCACATTGTTTGTGTTGCTAAAAATGCTTATGTAAGATCATAAATGGAAGAAATATGTGAATAATTCCAGTGAAACTCCAGACTTTTGTTATCATTTCCTAAGTTGTAAAGTGCATTGCGGTCGTTTGGTCCTCCTGTGTCAGTCAATCTCTTTCACCTTCCTTCATTTTTCTCCTGGCATAAACCCAGGGGGAAGTGGGGAGCTGCATGCTTGTGAATGTGTGATTTATGGACTTTGGGGACACTTCTTTGGAAAATGTTCTGAGTTAAGAGATACTTGGGTTCAAGACCTCTACAGATACCTAGGTTCAAGACCTTAATGCCTCTACAATGCATTAAGTGCATGATCTTATACAAATCATTTCAAACCTTTCAGGCCTCAGTTGCCTCTTTTGTAAAATGAGGATAGAGATACTGGCACTGGCTCTTACAAGAATCAAGAAATGTGAAAGTGCTTGTTTTGTAAGTCCTAAGGATTTACACAGGTGCAGCCAAACATCACTCTTATGTCATCATTTCTGACTTAACTGTATGCTGCAATGTTGTAGCATTGCAATGCTACAATGTAGTCCCTTACAATGACCCAGAGGTTCTCTGGGGCTACACAGACCTCTGTTCAAATCCCAGCTCTATAATTTATCAGCTGCAGGATCTTAGATTACCCAACTTCACTTTCTACATAGAAAAGTGCACTAATAATTTCTGACCTTATAAAGCTATTTTGAGAATAGGCACACACATGGTGACTGCTTGTCTAGTGCTAATGGACCTCCCCTTCCCTTCTTGTGCAAGCCCTCATGGTTCCCTTTGGCCACTTTTTTTTTTTAAACCGTTGGCTACTTTAGACCACCAACCAGATGAGCCAGTTAACTTTTTATTTTCCAATTTATTTATTTATTTGATCATACTGGGTCTTGGTTGCAGCATGTGGAAATCTAGTTGTCTGACCACGGATCAAACCTGGGCCTCCTATTTTGGGAGTGTGGAGTCTTAACCATTGAACCACCAGGGAAGTCCCCAGTTAACTTTGAGAAAATGTCAACACTGATGGCTTACTCTCAAGTGCAAGTTCTTGACTCTAAGGGGGCTGGGCAAAGACTATGGGAGATTTAACAAAACCTTGACCACAATGAAAAGGAAATTCCAAACCTCGGGTGGCAGAGATCAAGTCCCCTGGTCCACCCTTGCTGAAGATCTAGGCTGCATGAGGACCATCCCTCCTATAACTGTCTCTACCACCTGCCCCTTTCTTGAGCCTGCAGCCCAAGGCCAGCTGTGACTCTGAAACCACTTCTGTAAAGGCCCTAATTACTGCAGGGCTCCATTCCTTCTGTGGGTGCAAGGGAGGGGGGGGTAGGTTTTGCTCCCTTTATTCCCTCAGAAAGCATTAGGTGATCTCACCAAGCCCTAGGTAACCACTGTTCCCAGTGCTGGGGATGCAGAGACTCAAGTCACAGCCCCTGCCTTCAAGTTACTCACTGTCCAGGGGCAAGAAAGGCAACCACAAGTGTGATAAGGGCTGCACAGAAGCCAGCACAGAGCATTCCAGGGGCACTTGGGAGGGTGTGGGTAAGGCCAAGGTGGACAGAAGAAGTGATCTCTGAGCCAAGTCCTCAGGTATGCCTCAGCTGGATGGGGCAGGAGGAGGTGAATTTCTCACCCAGGAGACAGCTCATGAGCAAGCTTCTGTTAACCTACGTATCATAGTGCTATAATCATGTGTTCACATAACTGTAATTCCCATAAGAATTGCATGTTCCTTGGGAGCCAGGAAGTGTGTCTCAACCTGATGAATGAGCTAAGGTTAGGTAGATGCCAATGCTGGTAGAATCAATGATGGATGGATAAATAGTTGGGTGGATGGGTAGACAGGCAGACAGATACTACCTAGAGAGAAACTGTGTTATATATAATTGGATGATAAATAGATTCCTAGTCTCATGAACTGTGACTCCATGTCTGTTCTTGCTGAATCCAAATGACTGTTTTTAATGATATCATGTGTGTCTTGTCCCCTCTCCAGGCAGCAGGAAATGCTGTGAAAAGAGCCTCAGACAACCTTGTTCGTGCAGCCCAGAAGGCAGCATTTGGCAAAGCTGATGATGACGACGTTGTAGTGAAAACAAAGTTTGTAGGGGGCATTGCTCAGGTTTGTGATTAAACCCAGACAGTGTTTACTCCCAAGATGAGCACTGAGATATAACAGAGACACAAAATAACAGTGGCTTAAACAAGATGGGAGTTTATCTGTCCCTGGTAAGACAGTCTTGGGTATAAGCAGTCTAAGAATGGTATGGCGGCTTCTTTGTGTCTGAGATCCAGGCTCCATCTGCCTTATCACTCCACCATCCATGAGATGTTCCCTTGGCCACTTGGTCTGAGATGGCTTGATAACCGCCTCAGGGTTTCCAGCCAGCAGGAAGATGAAAAGTTAGGGCAGGCATGACTCTGAAGTTGTCTGCATTACTTAATTCACATGCCATTGGCCAGCACTTGGTCGCATGGCCAACCTAGTTGCAAAGGATACAAGGAAACGCAGTATTCTTTTCTGAGTAGCAGTGTGCCTACTTAAAAATCAGGGATTCTCTTATAGAAAAGGGAAAGAAGAGAGTTAGAGGACAGCAATATTATCTTCAAATGTTACATTTGGAGCTGCTACTCCAGATCTTTGGCCTTAGAGAAGGAATGAACGATGACCCTCTCCCAGAAGTTTTACAAAAGGGGATGGGAATCTGACTTATGTGGGCCTGCATTCTTGTGCATGGGAGTGGGGAGGAAAGGTCAGGAAACTGGGCTTGCAGTTTGGGTGTGTTCATATATATCCTTCATGCAAGATGTGTTTTCCACCAGGAGCAGTGAGGCTCCGTGGCTGAACTTACTCATTCCCACACCTTCCTTCGCTCTTCCTGAACCATTTCCTGTATTTGGAAATACACTGGATACATTTTTGGAGAAGGAAATGGCAACCCACTCCAGTGTTCTTGCCTGGAGAATCCCAGGGACAGAGGAGCCTGGTGGGCTGCCGTCTTTGGGGTCACACAGAGTTGGACACGACTGAAGTGACTTAGCAGCCTCAGGATACATTTTTACCAGAATCTCTTTCTCGATACAGTAGTTCCATGAGAAATTCCATGAAGAAGGTTCTGTGATCCAGCAGTTCTAGGAATGGCTGACCTCTGTTCTCCTTCCTCAGATATCACAATGCTTGTTAGTCTAGCAAGGCTCTGAAAAGACCTTTGCGTTTCAGAAATCTATGTGGCTTTCTAGAGCACAGGCTTACCCTTTCCCCTTGAAACCTATGAACTAATATTCCTCAGATCACACCTTAGAGGCTCAAAATAAATATCTGAAAGCCGTTTAGTAGTTTAAGGACTCTAGCTTTGGCTTTGAGAATACCTGAGATGGGTCCTACTCCACGAACTGAGGCCCTTCGGGAAAGTGGACCCACATCACTTGAGCTTCACATTTCTCTTTGGAACAATGAGACATTCAGTAGGCCGCACTTTACAGTGTCACCATGAAGGTGATGGAACACTCCATGTAAAGTGCTTACACCAGAGCCAGGTACATCGTAGGGATGCAGGCCCTATTGGTTATTAAATCAGTGACCAGAAATTGGCTTATTGTCTTGGATCACTAGTCTTAAAACCTGAACCGTGGCCCAGAGTTGGGTCTCCAGAGCTAAGAACACGCAGTCTTGGGGCAGTGCTGTGTCCCGCGGTAGCAGACGCTGTGGGAGCTCTTGAGGCAAGCATGGAGGGGAGGGCAGTTTGCTAGAAACTTTCACACCCCTCCAGCTTATTGATTTTCCTCTAGATCATCGCCGCCCAGGAGGAAATGCTGAAGAAGGAACGAGAACTGGAAGAAGCAAGGAAAAAACTGGCCCAGATCCGCCAACAGCAGTATAAATTCCTACCCACCGAGCTGAGGGAGGACGAAGGATAAGGCCAGAGCCAGGGTTGTGCGCCCCAGGGGACAGCCGGGCGTGAACTGGACGGACAGCGGTCCTGGGAGGCCGGGCACTGCCCAGGGAACTGCCCGCCTCCCCCTGGGGCGAGCCCAGAGCCCTGAGCGCTCCGGCTGCCTCTGCTGTGCTCTCAGGCACCGGCTGCATGATCGTGATGTCGCACGGTACAGTGAGTCCCACCCACAGCTCCTCCACCGCCTCCCCCACCTCACCGTATCTCAGGAGAGAGGGGCGCGGGATCACGGATGTTACCAAAAAGAAGTCAGTATTACGTCGTCCTCAGACACTTGTGCTTCTGTCGGTCCTTCTCTAGGCCTGCTGTGAAATCTTCATAGGAAAAAACGAAAACGGCTTGGGGGAAATCACTAATGCCATAGATACTCAAAGATCTTCTTCTCCCTCTCAGGCGAAGGTGGACATTGGAGTTGGACACAGTTCATAAAAGCCAGGAACATAAACCAGTGTGGACTCCAGGAGGGCAACTCAGGCCTTCCTGCCTGTCTCTAGCACTGGTTCACCCGGAGGGTGAACAATACCTGCTCCTGTTTGCACGCTTTATTGCCTCAGTGTGTAAGCTCCTTGTACAATCTAGATCCAACTGGTATTCTGTGGCCCAGAAAATTGAATGATTTTTTTTTTTTCCTCCATAATCCAAAGGACATGGGGGACTGTCAGGGCTCGGTGAGCAGGGGCTGTAATAAAATGTGTGGGCTCCTTACTCTGCAGAGGCTGTTTGAGTTCATACAAATTCATCCACATAAACCCAGGTCCTCCAGATGGCAGTCAATACAACAACCCCCACCGTAGGCGTTCAAAGTGAGGATTCAACTCCAGTAAAGCCATTCCTTGGTGACCCTGTCTTCTAGGTCCCAAATCAGGTTCTCTGCTCTCAAAATGGTCAGCATTCAGAATTCTGTTTAGAAATCTGTTACCCGCTTTCTAACCCAAGATGGATGTTTTCTCTATGTCCTAATAGTCCTAAAACCTAGATGCATTCTAATACCATTATGAATTTTTAACAACAGAGTTTTGCTAATTAGCCCATCTTAAAAGTGATGACATACGATATTTTCAGAGTTTGTCTTCTGGATGCCACAGTTCAAGAATCTTGTATTTCCCACCCCCACCTCCTTTCTCTTTTCAGAGCCCTCTCCTTGGAAGGGTATTTTAAGACTTTTTTGAGCCTTGCCCCAAGATAGTACGTGAAGGATGAATGACTTGTGGGATAGATACTAATGCCAAGTAGCAGGTGTCTTTGAAAAAAATTTCACTGGGGGAAGACAGTGGTGATGGAGGTACATGGTTTTTAAAGTTGGTAACTGTTGACAGCAGTCATCCTCCACTTCTCCAGTCATGTGGTCTCACATCTCATATTTCATTCACAGGACAGTCTGAATATTTTACCTGGGAAAAGCTGATGTTTTGGTCCTCAAAAAGTATCACCTGTAGACCTTGCCCAATGGTCCTGCTTTAACAGACCCTGGCCCATGCCATGGTTGTAAAATGCTATTAAACTTTGGATGGCTCCTCCTATTTATAAGAGACTTGTAAGTGCTCCACATAGAATTTTTTCCCAGGAAAGTAGGAAGCTACAAGAAATACAGTATAAATGAGAAGCAAGTGGAGAGAGTCTGTAGAGAGCTGGGGATGAAGGTATCAACTCTAAAGAAGAGGGAGCTGGCGGGGCCCTGCATCTAATGGGAGAAGCTAACAAACTCGTGGCTCGCCCTGCTCAAGTGTGGCCAGCACAAGTCTTCACTGCTGTTCTGGGCTGCACCCTGTCATTTCTTAGCCCGTGGACTGGGGGCTGTCTCCAAGAATCCCTTTGCAGATGGGCGTAGCATGCTTTCTGAGACTCTTAAGAATCAGATCCAGAGGCTCAGGGTCTAGATGTGCTAATGGCCTCACATAGCAGGCCTCTGGGGAGCCCCACCATGCCCCACCATCACCCCCTTGTGTTCCAGACTATGTGATTGCTCCTCTTCTTCCAGCGGTCCTGGGTCACAGCCTGGCATCCCAGGAGCCAGCCAGTGAGTTCTGTGTCCCTGCCTCAGAATCATTTAAAACCTGTCGTGAGTTTGATATCAGAAAACCCTTTGATATCAGAAAGCCAGGTGGAAGGCCTGTCCTTTTTACAACTCCAAAAAACAGATATGGGACAAAGTTGAATTTGTAGGACCTGTGTGAATATCCTCCGTCTGGCACATTCCGCGGCTGTGAGCAGTGGGGAAGCTGGTTCCCCACCTGGGGTGGTGCTGGTTTTTCATCTGTCCCTCCCCCATCCACCCTGCGCCACATACGTGAGTGGCCTTGTGACTGGCTTGGTCTCTCCCCCTTTCATGAAATGGGGGAAAGGCTGTGCTTCAGGCATGGTGTCATAGGTGATCCTATAGGTGTCCCCGGATGGCAACAAGGGAGGGAGGGTTCCGGTTTTCCTTCAAAGGGAAATATGAATATTTGGGGAGCGGGTGTGAATTTTCATTTCAGAGCATCTAACAAGAGAGTGGTTTCAGATAAGAAGTGGTTCCAAGCCTGGAGCATAAAGATGCCTCTCTGTGTGAAGGGGGAGTAGGTATGTAGGTGTGTGCCCCATGAGAGGAACTGACAGGAACCTTGAACTGATCTGAAGGTCAAAAAAAGGAACCTGAACTGGAAATCAGAACTGCCAGGTGATTGGGGAGTCTGGGCTTTGCTGGGTTCTGCCTTTCAAAAAAAATCTTTGAGTAAGAATGCTCAAGCCAGTTCAGTTGAACAAGCAGCTCTTGTTTAAGTTGCTGGCATCGGGTCAGGTGCAGGCCAGGTGATCAGTGCCAGCAGGAACCTTGGGTCGTAGGCACCGTTCAGTCAGGTGTTGTGAGCCCCCAGGCCGCCTGCAGGGCACTTGCATGGTTAAGTGATGAGCCCTGCGCGCTTTATCCCAGAAAGTCCCTTAGGGCTTCTCATAGGTTCTCCCTGCTTGCGTTCTGGGTGTGTTGTCTGTGAGTTTACAGACAACCAAAGTGTATTCCATATTTCTCAGAATGTTGTAACCAAGATTCACCCAGGAGAGTGAACCTTAACACCCACGTGTTCCCAAAGCCACAACCTCGTGCAGGAGCCAGGCAGCAGGGTGAGGTGGTGAGCGAGCCTGCTTCCTCCATGGGTGTAAACCCCCAGATCTTCCCCAGTGCTGAGGTTCTGGACACTGGCTGGGCCCCCGGGGATCTGGCTATCTGCTTCCAGCACAGGCTATCCATATGTTTCAGCACTCAGACCCCTGGAGGAAGTGGCCTGAGGACTGAGGAAGTGGACTGAGGTGATGGCCGTCACTCAGAGCCTTGAGGGGAGCCCAAGGAACTGGGGGGTATTCACTTCAGGCTCAGAGGCAGTAGAATTCAGAAACCCAGAGGTCCTGAGAGCTTGTCAGCAACTCAAGTCCCACCTCAGCACAGCCTCCTCCAAGTGCTGGCCTCAGGATGGCCTCTGGCAGAGAAGGCATCTTCCCCCACAGAGTCCCCAGCTCCATATTTAAATGTTCCTGAGCGTCCGCTTGGTATGTTATGTTCATGGGCATTAGGAGCCAGCATGTGACAGAGCGACTGTGAACTGAAGAAACACTACAAAGAGTGAGTTCTTCTCTATAAAGAGGTTTGGCTTTGCCTTCCTCAGAGCCCCCCTCCCACCACCATAGGCGGCCCTGTGTCGGTCACCTCCTGATTGTCGGTATCTCCTGATTCCAGAAAGCATGCAGTTGGGTCTCCCTTGGCCACGTTCTTTCCAAGCTGAAAAATCTTTAAGGAAGTGGGAAAACGGAGTTCTTCCCCGGGTCGTAATGTCTTTATTGATCTGGTCACATAAATTATTTTTTTTTTTATTCACCAGAAATAAACTTGTAAAGGACTGAACCCGTGTGAAAGTCTCATGGGAATGGGAGGAACATGGACGAGAGGAAGAGGAGACTGTGTCTTTATCATGTGAGAGAAACTCCCCTTTGAGCACTAGCTCTGTAGTCACCAACTTGTGTTAGAGGAGGGGAGAGAGAGAGAGTGAGTGAGTGAGTGTGTGTGAGAGAGAGAGAGAGAGACCGAGGCAAAGCCACAGGGAACCACTGAATTCCATACAGCCTTGCTGACTCTGGAGGAAATTCAAACAAGAAATAGACCCTAAGTAGAAAGATGCTGTTATCTTCCTCTTAAAGAAGCAGGGCCCCAGACAAGGAGTTCAGGCCGTGGGGCCACACACATCCCCTGATGCGAAGGTTGCACAGCGAGATGCATTGTGCAGATGTTGTTCTGTGATCCTGACTCGGAGCCGGACCCCGGAAGGATCGTTTTACCTTCAGCAGCCGAGGCAGAAAGGCAGCCTCCAGAGATTGTGACCCCTCCTTCCTGTAGAGAGTGGGCACGCAGGTTGTTTGGCCAGAGTCCTTGTTTGGGGGAACCAGACTTGGGGAAACTGTGCGGCATTTCTAGTCTGTGAGAGGGTAATGTCAAAAAATCACCATAGCGACGGAGAGAGTGTCACCACTATGTCTGACAGCTAAGAGGATTTTTCCTCTTAAAATGGTGATTTAGAATCACTAAGCCCATTAGTCATGTTTTTCTATCTTTGACTTTAAAATGGGGGTGGGACTGACTACCATAGACAGGAAGGTGGGAAGTCTGAGATCCAGGAGTGGGTGAGGGGGGCTAATGTTTGTGGGGTGTCCTGGATGAACTGTGCTGGACATGCAACCCCCTCAGCCCTGACCAACAATGTGGAAGGTGCTGTGGCCGTTTTTCAGAGAGACAAACAACTCAGCAAAGATGGGCAGCGGCAGGCGTGAGATTGGAAGCTGTCTGCAGGAATTCAGACCCTCTGCAGCTAAATCAGACTGATTACAATCACAGATAATCAAAAATTACTCACTGCCCCATCACCTACTATGTGCAGGACACTGGGGACCCTATCTTATTCCTGGAGAAGGTCACAGTCCAGGGAGGACAAACCTGAGCCCAGGCCAGGGGACAAAGAGGGCAAAACCCTGAATAGGAACAGCCTTCGAGCAGAGGACGTTTGGCCTGACTCGTGATGAATTGGAGTTCCTGGGTGGAGAAGCCGGGGTAGAAGGTGAAGGCAGCATTCCAGGCAATGGGAAGGGCACATGCAAAGACCTGGATTCACGAGGGGTTGGTTGCTTAGGGGGACAAGTAAGGATTCAGCGTGGTCAGGGCTAGGGGTAAGCAGCATGGAGAGAAAGGAGGCCAGGAGCCCAAGGAGGGCCTTGCTCAGGCCAGGGCACTTGGGATGGTTAGCTGATGAATCACTCTGTGGGCGCATTAGAAGAGAGATTGTGTCTTCACAATCCAAGTGTGGGGATGACCTGAGCATGGTCAGCAACTTGGGAGTGAGTGGGCCCCAAGCTGCTGGGCCAGAGATGTTCAGAGCAAGAAAAAGGATGAGAGCCAAGCCACCAAGCCTCTCAGGGAGGTCCCATAGCAGGAAGGCCCAATGCCAGGGGTCGGGACAGCCTTTGCTTACAGGGAAGAGGGAGTTTTGTCTCTAGATGGCCAGCGCTTACTGTACTACTGTACCGGTAGTTGCTTGTGCCTGGGCACGGACCTTTATCACCCCTTGAGTCCCCACCACAACACGTAAAGCATGACCCATGTTGTTATTTCCCAGGCAAGAATACTGGAGTCGGTTGCCATTTCCTTTCCCTGGGGATCCCAACCCAGGGATCGAACCTGTCTCCTACATTGCCAGG